TTTAATTTTCTGCCCTACACAAAATTCAGCACAAACAAGAAGGAAAAAGGTCACTTTTTCAGGCTAAAAGTGGGGCTCGCAGTAGGGGGTCGATGGCTTTCTCTAGTTTCCATTAAAAGCACTGGAACACATTTCAGAGTGCCTCAGAAGTAAGCTAAAGGTCAATTCCTCATTTTCGAGTCTTCAAAAGATTCAAAATTAAACATTTTCCCTATTAGGTCCAGGGAGGTATCTTTTGTGGAATTTTATTTGTCCCAGTGAAAATGTGATGATATAACAAATTTAAAAATATCAAAAAATCAATAGTCAATATAGAATCCCTAGCTTTGGAAAAAGACTCTAACTCCAGAGCATATTGTGCATTTTCAAACAGTTTCAAATTAACAGAAAGTGGTGTAAAGTGGAGATTTTTGTGTGTGATCTCAAAAATGGAGCACAAAAATCTACTTCAATATACACTAAGCCTTACAAACACTTCCTGCAGTTCTTAGTTATTTCAGTGTGTCCCCAAACCACACATATGACAGAAAGAAACAAAGGAAGGCAGGAGAAAGAGGGAAAGAAAGAAAGACGGACAAGGCAGACAGGACACGAGAGTGGTGGATTCCCCCTTCACAATGCACTGCTGTCCATAATATGTAACCATCCATCCATTATCATTAACTTCTGGTGAGAAAATGGCGGGAAGAGTCAGATTTTCTGTAGCAGTGAGCTGCTTGCTGAAGAAAAATGAATCACTGCACACTTGAATGAGAAAATATGAAGAAAGCACTTTGGCACTAATTAGTGCCCACTTTAAGCAATTCGTTAAGCCATGGCCCTGCGCCACAAGCCATCAGGAGGTGGAGCATGGGGCCAACCCGAAAGCAGAATGTGCAGATGGAGCATAATGATGCTCTCCATCACCCCAAGACAGTGAGCCCAGACAGGGTGCCAGGGTGCCACTCTGAGAGCAGGCCACCCACCACAAAAACAAACAAACAAACAAACAAACAAAAAAAAACAGAGAAACAGAGGACCACACTGGCTATTCCAATCCATACAAGCACAGCAAAGACACTCAGTGACACTCACCAACCAACTGGCCTCCTCACGGCCAAGCAAATCTCGACGTTGAGACCCTGCTTCTCAGAGTCCCTCTCTGACCTAGCCACCTGGAAGGATCCTGGTGCCTGGTGGTAGGGCCTCAGCTCCCTCCTTGTCTTCCTCAGAGGTCCTACTACCCGTCTTGACACTCCACTGGGGCACAGAGAAAGGTAGAACCCGTTGCCAAATATGCAAAAAAGGAGGGAAGCTAGTTTTCTCTCAGGAAAGCACACACAGGAAGGGAGCCTGGGCTTCCTGTCCTAACCAAAAACGAGTTCAGAAATTATTTGAACGTCTGATTTGTCAGGCTTGTGGTGGAAAAGGGTGTTCTTTTAGTCAACAGGAATTGTGAGTTCCCCAAAGGCACAAAATGGCCAAGGAAGAAAAGAAAAAGGCTCAGGCCTCAGAAGGAGAAGACAAATGGGTTCCACACCTGTGACTTGGGGTTTTCAGCATTTTTAACAGTTTTTCACCAGGTGGCTGGCTGAAGACACCTCTTGCATCCACCTATTTATCACAGGCGACCATGAGAAAAGAGAAAATGTCAACTGAAACGATGTGCCAACTGTCTACAGATTAGGCCTCAGTTGCTCTCCCTATGGGCCCTTTTCAGGAGTAACCACCAGCACACAACAAAATAGGGGTAGGCACCCACACCCCCACTTTGAAACCTTTTACAAACCTTCTTTTAGTGGCTGCTGTATTTCATCTGTAATGTGCAGCACTATATCCTTGGTGTTTCATCATGTCTTAAAAATATTTGTTAGAATATTTAAGAACAGTTAAGAGCTATGTCAAAAGCTATTAAAGCAATGGCACTAGAAACCTAAAAACTGGAACATATATTCCAAGGAGATGGAAGTATGAAGGCACTTATTAAGATGAAAAAAAAATACAATGAAGCCATAGTTGACATGAAGAACCCCAGTGTGAGCATTTAATAAGCACCAGAGTTCAAGACAGTTTTATTGCTATTTATATAGTTTGGTTTGGGGTGTCCTAAGACCCTAACAAAATCCCAGTTCTTCTTAGCACCTTATCTGAATTTTAAGAGAAAGAGTGTGTCTGTGTGTCTGTGTGTGTGAAACAGAAAGAGTGAGTTTAATGCTGATCCTCTGAAACTCACCATTTCTAAGACCCAGATCAAAAATGTACTTGTGCCTTTTTTTTTGAACCAAATAAACTGACTTCTTTCAAGACGTGAAGTGGATTCATATTTTTGCTTCTATGCTTTAAGAATGGTCACTTGTTGCTTTTGCAACTCATCTTTCTTCCCATAGAGTGGAAAGATTACACCATGCATATAAGAAATGAAATAGTTCTGAGTTTTCTGTAAAAACAAATATATAAGGACACTGGACAGGGAGTGGTGTTCACAGTCAGAAAAGGAGCTTCAGCAACTCTGTGGTGAGAAGTAGAAGCCACAGTGCCCCAAATGCTTGTCAGTTCTTAAAAATAGGCAGCAAAAGTCAAGGTTTCCAGAGAACCTCAGAGGGCTCTTCGTTTGCTTTCTACGAGCTGGATCCACTTACAAGACTCTTCCTTAGAATACAGTACAAGAAGCAGTACTTATTTCATAGTGAAATTGCTATGTAATTTCAAAGATTAGAGAAGGAGAAAAATAACATTAAACAGTGCTATTCTTTATGAATCCTCTGCTAACTGCAGTTACATGAGATGAAAACACAAAATTAGGCAAACAATCAAAATACTATTATCATTTACATTGAAACTCACCATTCTAAATAGAGAAATTCATTTTGTTTTTGTAAAAGGTAAAAAAAAATGGTAGCTATATTACTCATGTTAGGTCTGTATGATTTAAAACTCTTTCACACTGCGCGCATGCCTCACTCCACACTGTGTGCATGCTATGTGGGTGTGTGTGTGTATGCATGTACATATGTAATTTGTATTAGTATACATAATCTTGATATAAAAGACATGTAATTCTCTTAGGTTTTAAAGGTTTAACGTTTATACTGACAATATGCTACTGCATTAAGCAAATCTGATGCTCACCAATACAAATCAAGAGAAAATATTCCCCAAACCAAAGAACCACCATTCTCACTTTAAGTCTTGGGCCAAGTAAAGAAAATACAGTGGCCTACAACTCTGCTGGGCTTTAGACCTCTTGGTCAATAAATTCACTGTGATATTAACTTTTGAACAAAGGAATCATCTCCAAGGATGGCCACAGTTTACCTTTTGTTTAGGAGACTGTGCACAAACTTCCCAAAAGAGTCAAACACAGTACACTTTTATTTGTAGCCACTGTGGTCTCCTGTGAGACCACAATGGTGGGCTATTATTGCTAAAATGCTCCTGAATTTGGGGAGGAAGATGTAGTTTTCTCAGATGAAGAACTCTAATTAAGGCACTGATGAATTAAACAAACAAGCACTATGCTGTTTCTAAATTCCAGCCTTCAAATATCATCCAGGATACAAAAGGGGAAGAAAACAGGACCATTTAACTCAAAATATATTTGTCACCAGCTCTGGTGGGTTGCAAGACTGAGAAGCTCACTTTCTTCCCCATGTAAAAAAGGTATGTTCATGGGAAAATGTGAAATTAAAAATATTCTATCAAATGAAATGGTACAGTTTTTAAAATGTGAAGTCATAGTTATTACTATAACATGGTCTGCGTGTTACAGGATGCCACTGTAAGCAGGTGAATCTTCCTACCATGAATATTTGTCCCTGTTTAAATTTTAAGCCATATACCAAATAATCCAATGTGTCACTGAAGCAATTCAGACACATTCTAATATAAATGATGCTTAACCTGTTATTTTTTAAAATCCCATATAAAAGATGATCCAATTAACCTCACTGTTCAAACAAAGAAATTCAAGAGGGCGCAGGCATTTTCTTGAAGGTGTCACTCCCCCCTCAACTGATAACCCTACCCGAATGAACCACTCTTAAAAGCATTTGAATTTCCATTAAAGTTAAAAATATTATACATATTAAGTATTTTCAAGTTTTATAAATTTTCCTTTCTTACCAGAAACTGATTTCACTAGTAAGAAGATATTTCTTTAACATCATTTTGTCTCTGGAAGTTTAAACAAGGTACTTCAAAGATGAAATACACTCTGCAGCAGGGTAGGAAATCAAGCGTGGGTAACGTGAGAAAAGCCCCGAGTTAAAATTCACTCTGGGTGGGTTACAGCCCCCAAAGGGAAGGGAAACTGCATGTGAAGCCTGTGCAGCTTCAGACCTTATGGAATCGTTAGTTTTTTGGCCACTGGATGCGATATTGTATGCCTCCAAATTAGAAGGAAAAACAGTCATCCGCTTCCGAGATTCCTGAGGAATCACCAATGATGCTTGACAGATTTAAAAAATACATTTCAAATAAACCTCAAGTGATCTGATGTTTTACTATTATTGAGAGTTTTCCTGAGAAGGTTTTCTGACCCACAGGGAGCAAAAGTACCAAGTTTTCAAAACCGGGATAATTCTGTTTTGCAGAAAGCAAGCTCAGGCTTAATAGAAGCAAAATGCTTTTACCTCAAAAATAAGAAAAGTTTTCAATTAATTTTTTTTACAAATGACTTTATAAATGATTTTATAAAGGTTGAATTCTGTGATCCCACTATATGTGTATATATGAATTTAAATATGAGCAGGAGCTAAAACATCTTCCTGGTGACAGCGGAGCTGTTCAGAAGTGCCCCGTGTTGGCCTGATCCTGCACCTACAGTCACAGCCTAAAGCGGCAGAGGCTTTGACAAAACTCATCGCTCTCACTGTCCTCAGAATGGAGAGGCTGACGTGAGCAACACCGACACCAGGGATTACGAATGTTACCGCCTAGTCTGTCCTTTCCAGCTCTCAGGGAAAAAAAAAATCAAATTCACCAGTTACCCAAGTTTTCCTACTGAAATTGAAAACACTCACGTGGATTTGTGCGTCGCACTTTGGGGGCCAAGACTGATCCTCCGCGTGAAGAGCGACCTTGGAGCCGGGCTCCCTCTGCCCTGTGGGTCTCGACCGGGTCACCCGCTCTGCCGCGGTCCCGCGTCCCGCCCGGGCTGTACTACGCTGGCTGCTCAGGGGCCCAGAGATGTCCCCGCGTCGCCACTTTGGGCGCGGGCCGCGCAGGCACTTGTTAGAGTGCCCTGCTAACTTGGCCGCGGAGCTCTTCCCAGCTTTCTTTCACAATGACTTCCTGAAGTTGCTCACTCGCATTCTCCCCAATTTCTCTGCCACACGCCCCGCCCCCCGCCGGCTCCGACCGGGCTTCGAGCTCCCTGCCGACCGGCTGCCCCGCGCGCACAGCGCCGCCCGCGGGTAGCGCACTTCGTTCCCTCCGCCGCGGCCGCCCCCGTCGCGCCCGCGCGTCTCCACCTGCGGCCGCCCAGAACGGCGGTGGCCCGAGCGCGCGCGCCCCCGCCTTGCGCTCCGAAAACTTTGGGGTGGCGCACACTGCCAGTGTCCAGCTTGACTTGCCCTCAGTCCGCCCGGCCCAGCGCGCGCCTTGGCCGCCTCTGGGTGCGCTGCTCCGGTATACGGACCGATGAGCGGAGCTGAAAACAGAACGGGACGCGGAGAGGTGCGCGCCGTCCCGTCTCAGTCCCCACCGCTGGATCCTAGCTTGCCGGACGCCCGTCCCAACAGCAACTCTGGGGCCTGCCGTGGCGCGCGCACAAACTTTGTAGCGGCGTCGG